CGTATTCTCCCCAAACGCTTGGTTTATGTTGCGTGCAGCTTTTGCAGCACTATTACCAAGTTTGTACTCATATAAGAAAATGACGCGAATGTCGGCAGAATTCATATCGGTAATAAACTCAAAAGAAATAAAAAAGGGAAGACCTTCGAGAAAACCTATTTTGTTGAAATGAGTCTCTGGCAATGGACAATACGAGTATGAATGAGGTTATGCCAAATACAAAAGTATAACGAAAACAGGGAGGAAAACGTCCGCATGTAAAGAGAATGCGACATTTCATACGCACCAACCTAATATAATTCGTATCCTCTGTAGCACATATTAAATTCTGCAGAATTACCAGTGATTGCATTGTGATTGCTTCCCAGGTAGCACATGTTAGTTTCATATATATTTGAACATATATGTAACTGTGTTACCGTCTCTAACACTATATATAATTGGTTAGAGGCGATCAATTATTATATGTGATTGACATACATTGTCAAAGTAGCAATCGACGCCTTGCGGAGCAGCTTTACGTAGACTCTCCGCAATCGGCATGGTCTTGTAATTGATGGCAAAGTCGAAGCCCAACTTGTCGGTTAGCCATTTGCACTTCTCGTCGGAGCCGCATATGCCGATGACGGTGAGCCCCATGATTTTCGCGATCTGACCCACGTGAGAACCGACCCCTCCGGCGGCACCGCTGATGACGATGGTTTCACCGGGTTTCGCTTTGCATATTTCCGTCAAGCCGAAATAAGCTGTATTGCTAGAAAAGAGCACAATTTTCCTTTTATGACTGCAAAACTATTTTTTTTTGAGTGTATATCGAGATTAAAAACGGTGAAAAGCGCATTTTTATGTTGAATAATAATTTATATTTTTAATCAGCACAATTATACAGTATGTCAATTTATATAGAATGTTTAAGTGAGACCCAACGATGTAATGAATATTATTATTATCTTTTAATCTCCAATTTTTTCCTGCTCCAACTTACCCTGACGTTCCCAGCATGCCCAAGGTAAGAGATGGTGGCAGATCGCCAATGTCCGGTAAAATATATGTATCATGTATCGCGAGATTCTGGCTCGTTTCTGGCTTGACAACTGTATGCGTTCTCCAGCCTAGATATCCAACGATTCTTTTGCCAACCGGATATTCTGGATTCTTGGATTCCACGATTTTAGCAACCTGAGAACTAATTATTGTGCTTTCAAGTGGACATTTAGGCGAAAACACTCTAACGTACGGATCTATAGCAATGTACTCGGCTTGCACGAGATATTCTGAAAGTAAGGCGTATAATTTAATTAAATCTGATAATCATATGTCAATGTGAAATTATCATATTTTAATGTAAATAATATTGTTAATATCATCAATAACTTTTGTCATGTATGTCGCGCCTTGTCATTATAAAAGATTTCAACATATTTATATTCGCCATTCTGAACCTTCTTCTCATTTTTTAGTCGGAAATGTAATGTGTTTATCAGTAATGATCACAACATGACGTGATATGACAATTCAGTAATTTCCTCTAATTATACCTACCTCCATCTTGCAGAGGTGGTAATTCTTCCTCCACTAATTTAAAATCCGTCGTCTTCGGTGCGTTCACAAAATATTTGGCGAGTATGAACTTTTTTGCCTTTACCATCTTGTGCGGATGTGTTGAAATTCCTCGTATCGGGGTACAACTTAACTTCTCACTGCAACTTAAATGTTAAATTTCGATTAGTTTGAACGACGGTCCTGAAGAAATGATGTTTTCGCGACAATAGCTTGCGCTGAACTGCTGTAAACATACCCTTCGCAGTCATTTTTACATTATATATCACGCTCTTACAAAACGCTCGTACAAAAACGTTCTTACAAAAACGGTTGTAAAGATTAATTTAACGTGGCGTGTTGTGTTCAGCCCAATTACTTTTTTTTACGCGTTGTCATTGCGGTCCATTTTGTTGTATTTTTCTACCGGCTAATTACGTTTCCTTTTCTAAACAGCGAAAGTGCTATTAAAATTTAAATACTTTCCTCGATGTATATTTAAATATTCCTGATTGTGAAACGCAATGCAAAAGCAAGGTGTGTCTATTGCCTAGAAAAACCTGGAATTCTCAGAGAACTTTTTTTTGTTTAAGACTCCAGACAAAAAATAGTTCGTGTCATTTTCATTTTTATTTGTCCGTCTCATGATAAATAAGGCTTCTCAGTGATTGCTCGCAAGTGGTCTCGGAAGGGCATTCAAAATAAAAGAGTCGAATTAATAATAACACAAACCAATGTTCAGTTTATTCCCTCTTTCAAGGGGCGCAGCACACGGGTCCCGCGACGCACCTACCTTTAGAAGTGTTACGCTGAAAGCAATTACACTATTACTCGGGGGCACTTCCATAAATACCGCACGCAGTTATCGCGTAAAAAAAGCAAGGTAATGGATACACAAGCAACCGACGACGAGTTACCGTACGAGGCAGAATCGTACTATTGCCCGGGATCCAAGGACGTTCTTCTTTTTATTATCTCGCGGCACCATTAGGTAAAATATTAGCCCATGTATCGTAACATGCCCATATAAGGTCGCGTATCTCGGCTAATCGGAGATGATCGCCTCTTGCAAGCGATTAACACGGAGCACGTGATTCAGTTGTGCCGTGTGACTCGCGACAGTGATAAATTTCAAAAAAATAAGAGAAAGAAAATCTGAAAATAGATAAAAAATGATCGAGCTGCGATTCTAGTGTTAAGATAAAAACTCAATACTTGAACCGATAAGATCTGTCGTCGTGATAAAACGTCTGTCGTGATAAAACGTCGGGATACAACCGATAAGGTCCAATAAGAATTCATTTTGGAAAAATACATTTTTTCGTTCGGCTGCGTTTTGGCATACGATTATTACTTGCGCAAAATTTTATGTGATACCGAACACTGATTTAGATACTTTAAAAGATCTTTATTTTCTAGACAGAACAATAATTCACACATTGACTGTCTTTACTTTTTGCAATATAACGTAGACAAAAAAAGGAGTCATCAGTTACTAGTTATATTTATTCATTCCGTTAACTGCAATCATTAATACAACGCTATATGTAATTGTACCATTTGTCAGAGAAAATTTCTGCCTCGGTTAAAACGCGACTTGAAACATTCATTCATTGTACATGGAAGTTCGATGGACCAGATACATACCATTGTATATATATATGCAAGATATCCAAGAATAACTACATGCGAAGTCCATTAGAAAATTCTTGATATTAAACGAAGTAACTTTTCATTTCCCAAAATTCCATTCGAATTCGATAATTTTTTAATGAGAGCTATTCAAAGTTGTCAAAACATACTAGATTGCGCGCAAATTAGGTCTGAAACCACGAAGTATCAGTCATTTACAAAGTGACTACGTTTGGTGCCAAAAAAACTCCCGATTCACTCCGCATACGGGTATTCTGGGACACCCTGTATACTATATAAATGGTCGCATAATTAAAAGTTACAAACAATCAACGCGTCCCTAAAATAACCATATAAAAATAGTAGAACATCTATCGAGCACATAATCCTTCCCGCATCTAACGACTCGTTTCAGTTTCTTATAAAGTTTACCGGTGATACGCGCTATACCAGATCTAATACGCAACTCGAACTTAATTATATATATAGAGATGATACAGCACTTACTGTGTGCAGAACATTAAATGGAAAGATGGTTTTCTGTATGAGCCCAACCTAAATCCCGGCAAGAAATAAGTATATTGAAAAGAATTCACGTGGAAATTCAATTTCGTTTGATCGGTTCCGATTTACTTGTATCTCACATAGGGACGCCATGCTATTATAAAACGACAATTAAATAAAGACTTAGTTCATGTTGTAAAATCGTACCTATCAACACTCGTGCTGCAACACTGTCGCAATTTAAACTGTCGTACCTAAATTATTACGTTTCACTGAGACTCGCTATATAATGTCCCTAAAACGATGTCGCTAATCAACCAACGACTATACGTTTTGAGTGAATTTCACTGAACTCTGATTAATCTAATTGGCGATTTAACATTACTATTAACTGTCCTATCTTGCTAACGCGGATAGAAATGGTTAATTTTTCCATTATCATTTAGCGGCAAATTACAGATTACTGGAAATTGATACTGGCAATTCTTTTTATTATTATTATTATTTATCGATCGGTTTAATCTGGATTTAGTAAAAGTCACCCTTACACGACAGCGTAAAACCGGTTTAGTAACTTCCGACGTTATATATAAGATTCCGTTAGATATCGTATAAATTACACGTCACCCTGGTATTATTCCAGTTGCTGTTACCCTACATCTGTTAACAAAGAAGTATAGACTGATTAATCGAAATAAAAAAAAAAAGGAATAATTTCGTGTAAATGAGCATACATTTCAAGGAGCTATAATTACGGATGTTACCAAACCGACTAATGAAGACGTGTAAAATAGAGTCACTGCTATTCCAAATTAGGAAGGAAGATGTTGCAACACTTTCAAATTGCATCTTCCAGTTTCTACTTACAACTTACACGGTTAACTCTTTCAGTTCGGATTACAATCTACATCTGACGAATTCGTACTGTCTTTACGTATTCTAAGAGTTAAGAATTGATCCATTGTTTCGCTGCAACGCCAGCATCGTGTAACGTTAATTCGGTGAGTGTGCTCCTCGCGCATCTCATCGCGGTCAGGAAAGGATTGTTGTTCTTATAAACGAAAAACAGGTATTACAAAAGAGCTCGGTATACAGCTCGATATGTCGCGACGTCAGACGTTCCCTCGATAGTTGCTAGCGCGGTTCTACTACTATCAGTTCTAGTCACATAAAAACAAATGCATTCGAAAAACCATTAGCGCACGTAGTCGTTAAATAAAGTCGCACAGCAGATTATCAGTCTTCTTATCAGAAGAACGTTAAGTGTGTTTTCGTTTTAACCAGTGTGTATTTATTAATCAGTGTGTAAGCTCGCCTTTATTTCCTCATTCGTTCTTATGGCAAATAGTGTATTCCTAAAAAAAATGATTTTTTAAACTGTTCACAGTTGGTTAATAAATAATTCTATCGATGTAATAAGAGTTACGTCACGTTACGATTACGAATCGATTAAGAATCAAACGTCCGAACGATTAATACGATTTATAGTGAGCGGAGAAATGTATATAATACGGACGTACCATTATCTATAACTTATTTTGTGCACGTCGTATTGGTATCGTTTAATTGTTCGATCGTGACACCCCTCCCCCCTTCCCCTCTTCGCAGAATAAAATCTTGACTCGGTATTTCGTTCACATCGTCTCATTGTCGGAGCTGTGTGATGAGAATATCGTTCTCGTGTTTGTATCATTAAATAAATTAATAATCTCTATATGTTCTACACGCACTATATATATATATATATATATCTCCTACATATATATATATATATATATATATATATATATATATATATTATATTTACAACTTACAAATTTAATATAATGTTCTCTCCCTGCATTACGGAAAGCACGATTAGAAAATAAGGAACGTTATTGTAATTGGCGTACCGTGCGAGAAAATGAAACGAAATGAAGAGAATGTAAGATAAACACCGTTTCGCGATGAAGCGACTTGACCGATCGATTTTCATTTTTTCCCCTTTTAAGCCGCTTTTCCAACCATTCCTTGCATATCCGCCGCGATGCCACCGATCTTTTAATTCTAAGTACAGTCAGGTAAGCTTTTCTAGAACAGCGAAATTCTAAGTGGGATACTATCACTTGGTAATTATCACGATGCTAAAACACGTTACATAGAGCGATTAACTCGATTTAATTTACCGATAATCATTGTGTCAAGTCAGTTAGGTGAACATAAACGCGCTTTATTATTATTTCTAATATCTTTATCTCTCCCTCTCTCTCTTTCTTTCTAATTGAAGTTAGAGAAGTCGGTCTTCAGTTTAATCGACGGTGCGGATATCTTGATCTGCGGCTTCACAGGATCGACCTGTCGACTAAGCCGCTGAGCTTGCTGATGGCTGGATCTCACGGCGTTTTCTAATTTGGTTTTCAGCTCGCTGGATTGTGACATCAGCGTTTTAAATTCCTAAAAGTATGAACAATTGTTAGATAATAATAAATTAAATAAATAAATTGGTTAGATAATAATAAAATTTAATTAATTATATAATAATAAGTATAATAAATATAATAATAATAATAACAAAACAAACAAAATAACAAAACAATAAATATAAATATAATAATAAGTAATTAAATAAATTTGTTAGATAATAATAAATTAAATAAATAATATGTGATAAATTCCATTGGTGATTCGAAAGTATTTTTGAAAATACCTGCGGATATTTCGGCCCGATCTTGTTGAGCCACTGAAAACTCTGCTGATGGAGGCTCGCTTGATACTTGGTAGCGCGCTGAAGCTCGTCGCCCTCCAGCAAGTAATTGATTAAAATTGGCACAAGTAGAGTCAGCATTTGAATACCTGAAGTAGTCAGATACGTTATACACTGCACACACGTCGAGTCTACGTCTAAGTCTAATGTACACAATAGAAACGATCGATCGTAGTGTGTATTAAAACATTGAGAAAGTTAGAATATTAAGATCTCTACTTCCCACACACCTTGCAACAGATCTCCTGAATAGCGTGCAACATGTTCCGCATTAATGTATCACTCCATAAGCTAATTGTGACGTAATCTTAATTTCACGCAGAGGTTACTTACGATTAGGAAGATCGGCGAGTCCTATGAGAGCCTCCACCGTGCTAACACACTCCAAGGTAAATGTCAACTCCATATCGCTAGTCACATGCTTGCTCTTATCGCTGTACAGGTACTCCACCAGTCGCGGTGCGAGAGCGTGGATGTACGGGGTACTTATGTTGCGCTCCGGATGCAGGAATATCGTTCTTAACGTTTGCACGCATTTCAGCTTCACCTGCGGCCAAATTATTTAACTTCCAGATCGACGAGCAGTATTCTAATGTTTGTCGTCAGCTCACCGTTATGTTCTCGGACTGGAACGCATGACGGAAATGATTGATGCATGGAAACTGCAAATTCGGAGCACTCACCACCTCCGGCGACGCATGGAGCACGAACACCGCGATACCCAACATCATAGCCACTTCGTCCATTTTGGTCTCGTCGTTCCCTGCTTTTCACCGACAGCGTTATCTCATGTAATTCGCTGTTCTTCCAACAAGAATCATACCTGTTTTAGCCAGATCGATGATCTTAGCAAGCGCGCTTTGCAACAATCCCGTCCATTGTTCCCGACTCCTGTGATCCTTAGCGTACTTGTTGGTGGTGAGACTTTTCACGCAGTGCAACGCGGCATGGATAGGCGCTTCTGCACCGGTCTTGGCGATGTCGTTGTCCGTACGCACTGCGGTCTCTCGTATCACACCCGTCGCCAAGTACAACAACGTCGGAAGAATTGCCACCGCACCTTTAGGAGATGAGAGCGTGAAGTACGTATGAGATTCGGTCGATCGATCCGTTAATTTCGCGTATGTACCTTGCGGAGAACACAAGGTAGGAAGAGACTCCATTATATTGAGGGACAACGCGATCAGCTTGCCGCTCTCCTCGGACGGCATGTATCCCTTCTGAGACAAGATGGCGGTAGCACCGCCGGGGTTCGGGTTTAACGCCGGTATCTGCCGCACCAAGAGACACAGGCATACTTCCAAGACGGCGAACACCAGCGATTTGCCTGGCATGAGCTCACCGTTTTCCTCTCCCTCGCCCAACAGATCCAGCTCCAATGTTTCGTTGCTTTCCTGTTGCGTCGGTGTGTCGTCTGCCATAAAGAATGATGGTATTTTTCACTTATTAATTTATATTATATTTGAATATTTTATTTCTAATATTTTATAATTTAATATTTGAAATAAAAGGCACCTTTGAGCTTCTTTTTGGTAGCGAGGTCCTCCTGCGCTGCTTTCATCACTTGCTTCAACACCTCCATCGCTATCATTTGGATGACGTAGCTCTCCCGTGTTAGAAGTAATCTTTGAAAACGACATGTACATTAATATTGTATGCTACAGAGAGAGACTTTGCATCCGTATATCTACCTGTGAAGAACATTGCACAATTCGATGGGTAACGAACGGTCTGTGACGAAGACTTTGCGCGCCCACGTCGAGTCGAGCAGAGTGTACAAAGCATTCAAACACGTCTCTATATTTTGCGGGGATTCGGAAGAGCGAGGACTGCACAAAGCCTCCATGCATATACCTGCAGTAACAAACGTATATTTCATATTTAAATCACACAGGATTGACACTAAAACTATTAAAACCGTGAATGGGGAGGTCACTTTTGACCATTTTCTTTTTTTTTTCATAATTATCCGTGGATTTTTTTAAGTTTTATAGTATTGTTTAGTTGTTTCAGGCCTACCTAGTGATGAAAATCGAGAAAAAAATAGGAAAAAAAATCTACAAGTGTGTCAAAAATGACCCAGTGAATCGAGGTAGATATATATTTACCAAATAATAAATGAAAACGTTCAACATTCGTGTTAGTTTTGGAAGTGGCGTCGTCATTGTTGTTATTATGATTGTTGTTGGTAACATTAGTCGCTTTCTCCTGATCACTGTCCCCCATCTCGAATCCTCTCGCATTCAGCCAGAGCGTCGCGGCGTGGAGAATCGGCGCCCACGATTCTACGTAATGAGGACGCGCGGACTCCATCGTGTCCGTCGTGTAAAAGGCCCCACCGTCGTGCGGCAACTGACTGGAGAATTCTACGGGGGATGATCGCAATTTGAATGATATCCGAAAGAGAAAAATAAAAATACTAATATACCGGGTGGTAAAGAGAGCAACGCATGATCCCTTAACGCGGACAGCCAATGTTGACTGAGACTCAACAGCTCCGGCTGGACGAGGCTCAGCAAGCTCTCACTCTGGAACTCGAACTCTCCGAAATCTTCTTCGTTCGCTTCGTCGTTCGTTTGATTCGCATTTCGATTAATCGTATCTTTACTGTTCAACGCGGATCCGTCTCTTATCATAGCGACTACGTATACCTGTTGACAATCACGAACATTCAGCCTTTCTTCTCCCATATTGTACTATGACGTTTTCAACATACCTCTGCCCAAGCTTTTAGGATCGCCAATCTCTCTAGCGTCGATAGACTCTCGTTGTAAAGCTGCGGCCGCGCGTTGCCCTCCCTCAATTTCTCCAAGGAAGACACGAGCAGCTGATGCACCCTACGAAGGTCATTCAGATCCCTGGCGACGCCACTACCGATCCACGCGCTGCAAGCTTCACAGGCTGCAGCCGTCACGTGCGACGGAGTCTCCGCGGAAAATGCCGGTCTCAAAGCAGCTCCGACCTTAGAACGTTCGGTATAATAGACTTCAGCAGAAGATTGTGATGCTTAGTGTGTAAATGCGATATGGATACATTTTTTCGTTATTTTGAATTATGGAAAATATACGCAATTTACCTGTGCTTGAAACTGCTCGAGCAGCAAATGCCCGGGAAACTCCGGCTCGGGAACTTTGGCGAATTTGTCGATGATCTCCTGCAGAGTTTTAAGACCTTCGAGCCGCAGCGGATCGCAATCGCTCGTCGCGGCCATGAACGCCATGCGTACCAAGTCCGAGAGATGTAACACCAGAAAGTCCCCTGTCGTAAACATGAACAATCAGTCGGAGCGAAGAGAGGCGGCAATGCTCACCGATTAATCCCCACCTTTCCCTTTGGACAGCTGCATCTCTTTGGCCAAAGCGAGATCGAAATGCGCCTGCTTGTTATTCACGCAAGCTGCGACGATGCGTCGGACACATTGCGCCGCGAAAACTCTAGTTGGCCATCTCGGCGTAATGGACGGCCGCTGCTTCGCGGATTCGTCGGCGTGGAACTCGGCCTGATCGTCGTCGCCTTCCGCATCCGCATTCTCATTGTCAGCGGTGCTATCTTCCACATTCGCCGCGTTGCCCTCCTCGATCGTACTCGATTCTACTCGCCGAAGAAATATCTTATCATCGTAAAGACAAGCCGATGTGTTGCAAAGTGAGGACTTACCCGAAGCTATTGTGAGAACATCTTTACACAATGATAACCATTGAGACAGATTGTCGGCAGCCAATATCTGCAGCATGCTGGTCAGAGTATCGTGAATATCTCTGATCAGTTTGCTATCGGTTTCCGTATCGAGCATGCTGAAGAGAACACCCGGAAGCCCGGTCTCCGTGATAACGAGACCCTCCACTACATTGGTGTCCCGACTTTCGTTCGCTAATGTCATCGCGTGCTCGCACACTTCCTTCGCCTCGCGCTGAGCGAGCTGTCGCAAGCACGATATCGCCGCCTTACGCAGGAGCAAGTGATTGCTCGATAGTGTGCGCTGCAAATAAACCAAAAAAAGAGAAATAATATGTATATTCGCGCAAACACACGAACGACGAGCTTACACATAACGTAGGAACGAGGGAAGACAGATTGACGTGTCTTGGCGCGAAGAGATGCAACTGCTGGAGGCAACCGGTTGCTTCCGCTTGAACAAGTGGATCCTGATGGTCCTGCATAATGGCGCACGCGCACAAGAAAGACGATCGCGCCATACAGATCGTCGATGTGTTACCTGAAATCAATTCTCTTCTGATTCCCTTTCTCCACTGGTGATTTTATATAAAAACTAGTAAATCAAGAATCAAGATTCTATTCAAGGCTGATATTGAATTAAACGAAGATTGCATGGAAATGATGAATTAATGTAATCGTTCGATAATCAATACGAGAAACAATTTGCCCCTACTGAAAGGAAGCCCCATTTGAGTAGCCACCCTTTTTCATATAAGGGGCGCCTGAAATAATAATTAGGAAATCTCGAAAAACCATCCACCACTGAGCCTCAGCAGAATGGTTGACTTATAATTTTAAGACAATGTTTTATGTCTTAAATCTTTGTCCAAGTTAGCGTTTATTTACTTTTCTATTATATAATTGACGATTTGTCTATCAATCACAAACAGAACGGCTCTTTAGTTTAAGACAGTCACTGTTACTTAAAGACAAAGATTCAAGGCATAACATTGTCTTAACTGATACGTCAGTCATTCTAGTAAGGCCTTCTTCCAAAAAAAACTATGGCCATCTAGCTCGTGATTACAGCCTGTGTACAATATCAGTTGGATACATTGATTGTCGACCTTGTAATTCCGGTCCTATCGTCGTGATGAGCGCCGATAAGACCTTGCCGATGCATTGGTGCACGTCGATGTACGAATGAGGAACATTGAGGAGGAGAGTCAGTGCCAAGGATAACGTAGGTTCTACGTAGCCCCTGAACATCGGTCCACCGGAATCGGCTATCAGAGCCAGAGCATGAAGTGCCCAGACCTGCAGGGGAACGTTCTCGTTACCAACGGAGCAACGTGAGCAAACAAGCCGACAAAAGTGTCTCACTTGTACTACGGGAGACGAGTTATCCTGCGCGAGAGCGAGCAGGATGCTGACGCTGGTGTTGAGGTGTTGGCTGGAACCCATTCCGCCGACGTACTTGTGCAAACAGCCCAACGCCAACGAGTGGCCGGTCCTGCTGGCGACATCGCGCGCCGACTTCAAACGATCGAAGCTGGTCTGCGCCAATTCCGCGGTGAATTTCGGATCGGAGATCACCTGCGCCATTCTGCCAACCGCTTCTCCCGCGGCCCATCGTAGAATAGGATTACCGCTTACCAATGTGCTCTGAAATGTGAAGAGCGCATCACAGGTCGATAGTAGGATTTCAATGTTCGTTCGGATCTAACAGGCATGGGCGGTTTAATTGTCAAAAATAGTGGAAAAAGCGAGTTTCATTCTTGAAAAAAAAAAAAGTGATTAAGAAGCGAATCCTGCCTGAACGCTTCAAACCCATATAATCCATGTATCCAGACTTCGGTTCTGATCTCAACTCTGATCTGAATTTATACATAGATTAACCAGAATAGTACGGATTTGAATTGTCAAATCGGAATCGATTTTGGATGATAAAAACAAATATCCAAACGTTTGGTAGTTCTAATCAACAGTGTCAACCGATTTGGTGTCTTACAATGATGAGATTAGTTGCAGACTTTTTGACGTCTTCCTGCCCGAAGCCTGTCTTCGCCTCGTTGAGACCCTTCAGACCGCTCAACACAGCCGTGAACACATTCATCTGTATCGCCTCCTGTCTGCCGGACTTGGTGTGCTTTATGCACTCGCTGAAGTGGTCCAGCATCTGCAGTCTGTGTTTGTTCGCTACACGCGGGAAGATCTGACCGAATAACGTGACTGACAAGTCGATCACCGCTACGCCCAACGGCAACGGACCAGGTATTATTTCAATCTGTAAACCATTTGCGCGATACAAATATTGGATCCAAATCGCAGTATAAGTTAGATGGTTTAGCAGACTTTAAGCTTACATGTGATATAGGTCTGTAGAGGCAGCACGTATTATGCTCCAATGCACCGGATCCCGCAGCACTGTTTGGTTGAAGCTGAAAGAGAGAAATCGCAGATCGTGTCATAGATCATAAATCATTTTAAATCCTGCAACGAGAAGAAAACAAAACTGCGTTGTATAACCTAGAAAAAGAAAACGTGAAATAAAAAATAAACAGGTAAACGAGCATTCTTCGCTGAAACAAATAAGACTTTTCTAAAATGGCACAAGCAAAACATAATGTAATGAGTACTATGTGTGAAACGTTAAATATATTCAGTGTCTTCAAAGCAAGTGTAAAAGATATGACGAATTAAATATCGTCGTAGAATATAATAACAATAAAGTAAAGTACAAAAAAGAATACATAAAGTCAAGCGACCCTGAGTTTTGCACAATATAAGTAGAGAGAGTAAAATAATTTCTGTAACAGAAGTGAAAGGCACACCTTACAGAACATCTTACTCACATGTTCCAAATCTGCCCTTCTGTTTGGTTCCATCTAAACACGAATAACCACGTTAACTTGTGAGTTAAGGTAAAAAGAGTACAACGGCTTAATTTAGAGAAAAACATATGCTATTCTTCGCACATTTAATTATCTCTCAGTTATATCTGGAGATACGATATAAGATTATAAAATAAAACGTAGGTTGTGCATAAGTACGAAACAAGTTACACGATAAAAAAAAAAAGAAAAGAAATACTCTTTACAATACGTCTGCTTTGGTCATTTGATAGTGACTTTTCTCAATAAGGATAATAAGAGGATATTGATTACACGTGAAATATGTAAATCTAGGATTGTTTTTAGTTGAAAAAATGCGTCAATTACGAAAACGAGTCCTTGGTGTAAGAGTTTCCTAAAGAGAGGTTACTCTAAACTAACAGGGGGAACGCCACTGGAATATCACGAAGACGCCACGCTGTTCAGAAACATGACTTCGCAACGCAAAGTATGCACTCACTTGATCCTCGATCGTACGATGATCAGTCTCCTGAAGCCATGTTCCAAGAATCACGGAATCATTGGCGTGGCAAACAACACGTAACAAAGAAGTAGTCGTGTTTCCGGGGTTATCGGTGAGCGTGAACTCGGACACCAGCATCCTCAGAAGATGCGTGTAAGAACCTACAAACACGTACACGTAACGCAAAAGGAAAACAGATCGTTTTAATTTACGACGTGCCGATATCACCTTCAAACGTTTGTGGTGGTAACAGCAATAGCGTTTCGTACAAGCGCAAACGGACCATAGCCGCGGGAGCTTTCAACTGTTGGCCATAATTCTTCAAAACGGGCGACAGACTGGAAGAAACGTTTGAAGTAGAATCTCAACTCTGTGAGTGAGAGGACATAAATAAAAGTATTCGCACTTTGTCAGCATCGCCAGGGCAGACTCGATCGGTGTGAGCAATCGCCGTGTAATATCGTCGTTCAAAAGCTCCGGACAATGCAGTAGGAAGCTGTACATAGCGGAAAGTGCGCCAGCGCGTCCTTCCAGAGTGACTTGCCACGTGAAAGCGTCGCCCCGCGCCTTCTCGCTCTCGAGCTCCTTGTTCGAACGCGGGAAAGAGTTTCTCCACAAGAGCAACATCCTCGGTAATAAGCCCTTGACCACCGCGGTACCTTCGTTATCGTAAATTATTAAACTTTCGTCTTTGAAATTAAAATATCATTGATCAGACACCCTGTATAAATATATGAGATATTTATACCTAGAGTCATTATCGCTCCTATTAAGAGCCATCCTGCATGCGTGCGATTCAAAGACAAACGGCTGTTTTGGCTCGCGCTTCTGAGCAGTTCTTCCGCTGTATTGAAAATGATCTGAAAATTACGGTCTTGGTAAGCGGATCTCACATGTGTGTGTGTGTGTATAATCAATAAATAAAAATAACACCTTTCCCTTAGTGTGAGGGACCCCCAGAGGGGACAAACGAACGCTTCCCAGCACTGCAGCGAGAGCGCTGCTGTAGCCCGCTATCGCTTCTGGCGAGCTACGCATATTCTCAATCCCGTCGACGCAACGGTCGATCAAAGGTGTTATCTGACTCGGCACTGCCACACATATGCATCGTAAGCACCAAGAGGCAGCCAACCTAGCCGCTTGACACGGATGTACCAAGACGGCCATTATAGTATCGATTAAACCTACGATGAGATAAAAATACATATATCGCTTATATACGACGATGAAAACTCCACACATTGGAAAAAGTTTTAAATGCGCAAATACGTACTCAGAGACTGATCGGACAATAAATTCGTGGCTGTGGTGCCTAATCCCAGTATCAAATTACCCATCTCTTGCAAAGCGCAGACTAACAAGTGCTGACTAAACAGCGTCTCTTGATTGCAGTCCTTAGCGTTCTCAGGGCTGAAATCTGCAAAGAGGTTGCATCGTCGTGTTACAGGAATGCGTTAACGTCTGAGATATCATGTAAAATAATGTGATTCTCCGGATATTATTACCGATGGAATTCATCTGCTTTAAAATAATATGTGCTATCTCCTTGCAGGCGGCGGCTTGAGCGCCTTCACCCAACAATTTGCCGACGGTGCCGCGCAATATGAAATTCACGCATTTGCGCGAATACACCGCCTCGACGTGCGAGTTGGCAGCTTTCGGGTTCGTCACCAGGTCGAGAACGTGCGCGACTAACGCGCCGATGTTCCGCTCCAGCCAAGTACCCCCCAACATTTGCACGAACACCACGTAAGCCTGTAAACATCAATGAATCATCAGGGGCGAGAACGTAAGTTTAATCTTGGAAAATTTCACTGTAATCATACACTTTTAAGAAGCGTTAATATTTATAATTGCTTACGTGTGTCACTCCGACTCGAACTTCTCGATTTACGCCGGAGCTCCCTTTGATTATTTCGCCGGTTCCTTTCAGGAAGCCGACGCCACCTCTCAGAAAGCCGGACATCAAAATATTTAATACTTCTTCGAGAGACGTCTGTTTGGCGCCTTTGTTGTGCGCGACTGCGAAAGAGAGAAATATCTATTAGGAACATATATAACATTTTTATGTAATAAATTGTCACCAAGACTTTACCCGTAAGATTTTTGATCTTGGGCGAGGGAAGTTGCGTCATCGCCACCAAGGTACCCAGCAATTTAGCGACAGAACATCTCACCTCGTAATTGGAACCTTCGAATGCCCGAAAGCACAGTGTCGCTACGCTTTCGATCTCGGTCGTGTATAAAAATGGGGCGTGATTCAACATTTCCAACAAACACTGTAAAAAGCGACCGTTGTAATTAAAGGGAAAGGTAACGGGCGTTTTTCTTCACATACCTTGGCTGCGGCACATCTCACTGCCATGACTCTGTCAGTCAGATAATGCCTGGAAACCTTGTATATCTCTTTATGCACGTTGGTGATCGCCGATCCCATCCCAGCACACACCTGATGATAACGTACATATGAACACGTTTCATTCGAGTGAATGCTTAAAACAAAATGAAATCACCTTTTCCAATGTATGCATAATCTCTATCCGTGTTTGCGATTCTGCGGAACGTAAAGACTTTATCAGAATTTGCACTGTCTCCTCGTACGATCTGCCCATCATTCTTCCTAATTTTTCATACATACATCCCACACAACAAATTGCGGCTCTAGAAACACACAGCATATGTTGCAAAATTATCTTATTTGTGATACTTATAATAAAAAAGTAATTTCCTATTATGCTAAAGAGATCTAAAAAAAATACCAAAGGTACTTACAGTTTTGTAGGTAGAAAGCTTGGAGAGTCATCTTTATTTCTCAGAATATCATTGCACTTGTTGACAGTGTCAAAAAGCAAGAATGTATCACCAACACTAAACAAGGTGGCAAGGCATCTTGCTATAAGACGTCGTGTGGGAGGGCCAGGAGCTCCTTGCATATGTCTGGTCAATTGTTCTACGAGTTTTTGCTGGCATCCTTTAATATCACTCTGTGAACATAAAATTTATAAAGAAGTAGTATCTAGATACAGAGATGTATATCTTTTGTACCCAAATATACTTTATAGAATTACAAATGTCAATGTCTATAGAATTTAATACCTTCTGAGCAGCGACCAAGACTTTATCCAGGAAGCGTAACCACTCAAAGATAAAAACTGGCCGTTTTGCTTCTGGAATTTGATTAAGAGCATCCTCGTTGAGGGTCAGACTATGACTCAACTCCATCATTGTTTCTGATAGATACGCATACACAAATTGCTTTTAAATATCAGCCAGTGCCTTTCTGCGAATCAAAGTTGTCACCATTTTCAAGTTTGACAGCATACAAATTAAGTGAAATTAGGAATTAATTATTAATGCGACGTGTATTAAGGTCAGATACATCTCAGGGATGTCTAATATTCTTATCATTTTATTTTCAAGCAAATGCATATTGATAAAATATAATTAGGGCATCCGTGATACACACCACAGGAAATAACGATCCGAATGATATCACTCGGTGGACCGAGACATTTTCCCGTATCCTCGCCAGGACATCATATTATTGTGAACTCGTAGTGTGAAATTGCGCGCAACGTGCCGCGGATATTTTCAAGTGCGAAAGGATCGCGTCACTGCACGGTACTGCAACGACAGCATCATGCAGCGTATATTGTCTATAAATACCGTAATTATTATTGCAACGGCGAACAGCCGCTTCTACACGGATGACAAATTTTTACATAGGTTAGGGTAGGGGATAATCGATCGATCGATGAGTCGATTCTTCTCTTAGAAGTTAAATAATCGATTGTCAAAAGTTCACTCGACTCGAGAATCGATTGTGAATCTTTTCCTCGAATGTAAACTTGTGAAAAATTCAGGTCCTCTCAAAGCTAAAAATGTCAATTTTTCACGAGTTTATATTAGAAAATAAGAGGAAGATTCTCACTTTCTGTTCGACAATGCCTTATTAAAAAATATCAGTTTTATCCAACCGACTTTAACGCCATTTCTAGTTCGAGGATCAATAAAAATGTCCATCGTATGTCGACACCTTGCGCATGCGCAGAGATTTCGTCGTCTCCGTTCCTTTGTAATGTGCATCGGTCGTTCATTTTGTGCTTGAACCTCGTAGGATCCGTCTCGTCTCGTGCGATGGAAGGAAGGTAAGTACGAGTTCGAGATACGGATTTTCAAGATCTATCGCCATCCGCGCGCACTCGTTGCTTGAGCACCTCACGGCAAGCTTTTTGCGCACGATTCTTTTTGCGTGTAACATTTCCAATTGTATTTTTTAAATTATTTAACATTTTCAATATATAACGTCGCCCCACATTTCTTGCGTTTCGATGATGACACGTTCGTAGTCTCGTTCGTATGATCGTTTCTTGATTATAATCTTGTCACGAGTCTGATTATGTTAATTACCATACAAATCACTGCCACATTTTCTATACGCTGTTGAATTTAGTATCCACGTTTTTTTTCTTTTAGAGGGATTTGTAAAACCACCCGCTATCTCAAGCGTCGGAGGGTGTCCATTAAATATTGGGTCAGTCAAAAAGCTCATGCTGTAGTTATTCGTTGAAAGTTAACATCGACAAGATGTATTCGCACTATATCATTCAAATTTGTGGAAGATGTAAATGTTACCGCTGCAAAAGCATTTGTAAGACCTACAGAAAGAATGCAGAACGACTAGAAAATCCGACATTTAAACGCGGTAATTTCTAACCAAGAAGACAAACCATATTCAGGGTACTCGATGAAAGTAGATGAGGATTTAATTACCGATATAATTAAAATTTAAAAATTTCTACTAAAAAAATTGCGCAGAAATTAAATGTTACACATCAAAGTGTATTTGATCATTTGAAAAGCTACATTTTGAAGTGTGATAATGGGGTACCGCATGCCCTCACAGAAAAGATTAAATTAAACTATGTTTCTAATTCTTTCTCTCTCAGATTAATTGTCTAAGAACTAATTTTTGGACCAATTGGTAACAGATGATGAAAAATTCTTTGATAGTAAATCAACTGCCTTCTATGATAAAGATATACTAAATGTAATCAACTGCCTTCTATGATAAAGATATCAAAAAGGTTGAGGAAAGATCATAAACAATGCAAGAGATTACTTGTTTGATGAGTAATTGGTATTCTGTTGAGCACAGTAAATTCAAATTTGAACTTCATGACTGACCCAATAGATCATGCTCATCCATACTTGTTTAAGTGAGTATTATTTCGTTTATTATACGTTGGAGGAAAATCATTGATTTTTTGCAAACATTTGTTTCTTTACTTGTCTCATGTTCTAATCAGATTGTGTTCAAATCATATTCGATTGCTTGCTAGTCAGTATCTTGAGAATTGCATTCAGGGATGTAAGTTTGTATAAATTTATTTTTAATATATAAATTCTGCTGCATCAATTGCAGATGCGTAAACCATGATGCAATTATACTGCCCCAGTCTGAAAACCTATGACTGATTCAGCCTACTGATAAAATCACTTTAAGTTTTCCTTTTCCTCGCAATCTCTATGAAATTTACATTAACATGTAATCCTTTTAACAGGAGATGAGAAATGGGCTGCGTCTCTTAATGAGCTTTTCCAAGATTGGGAATTCATGTAAGTTACTATTTATATATATTTATATAAATTCTGGTGCATCAATTGCAGATGCATAAACCATGATGCAATTATACTGCCCCAGTCTGAAAACCTATGACTGATTCAGCCTACTGATAAAATCACTTTAAGTTTTCCTTTTCCTCGCAATCTCTATGAAATTTACATTAACATGTAATCCTTTTAACAGGAGATGAGAAATGGGCTGCGTCTCTTAATGAGCTTTTCCAAGATTGGGAATTCATGTAAGTTACTATTTATATATATTTATATAAATTCTGGTGCATCAATTGCAGATGCATAAACCATGATGCAATTATACTGCCCCAGTCTGAAAACCTATGACTGATTCAGCCTACTGATAAAATCACTTTAAGTTTTCCTTTTCCTCGCAATCTCTATGAAATTTACATTAACATGTAATCCTTTTAACAGGAGATGAGAAATGGGCTGCGTCTCTTAATGAGCTTTTCCAAGATTGGGAATTCATGTAAGTTACTATTTATATATATTTATATAAATTCTGGTGCATTAATTGCAGATGCATAAACCATGATGCAATTATACTGCCCCAGTCTGAAAATCTATGACTGATTCAGCCTACTGATAAAATCACTTTAAGTTTTCCTTTTCCTCACAATCTCTATGAAATTTACATTAACATGTAATCCTTTTAACAGGAGATGGGAAATGGGGCTGTGTCTCTTAATGAGCTTTCCCAAGATTGGGAATTCATGTAAGTTACTATTTATATATATTTATATAAATTCTGGTGCATTAATTGCAGATGCATAAACCATGATGCAATTATACTGCCCCAGTCTGAAAACCTATGACTGATTCAGCCTACTGATAAAATCACTTTAAGTTTTCCTTTTCCTCACAATCTCTATGAAATTTACATTAACATGTAATCCTTTTAACAGGAGATAGGAAATGGGGCTGCGTCTCTTAATGAGCTTTCCCAAGATTGGGAATTCATGTAAGTTACTATTTATATCATTTTAAACTTAAAATGAACATATTATGAACATATATATATATATATATATATAATACCATCATAATATTATAACATATGATGAATTAATAAACTGCCCTAGTCAATCAGAATGTATATGAAGAATAAAATTAATTCTGAAAAATATTATTGATCGTGAAATTATATAAATAGTTACGTATATTCTGATTACATTATATTATTTCAGATATTTTCTTCGTAGAAAATAGATGACACAATCAGAACAACAAATCTTAATCACGAAACCAAATGAAATATGTTAATCATGTAAGTAATCAGAAAAACTCAAATTGTCAATGCTGTAAGAGAAACAATATTACAAAGTTATGCTTTATTTTCTATGATGATTTACTAAGTTATCCCTGTCTTACAAGAAAATATGGTGATACAGAGTAACTGATTTAATAATATATACAATTATATCTTCTCGCTACTATAACGTAAGAGTAACGTAAAGAACTAATGTAAGTTAATTTCTTTCAGAAGAAATATGAAAATGTCAGATGCATGCGATAAATAAGTATGTTTATCTACCAAGAGAAATGAAGTTATTCTATGACAAGAAATGAAGGAAACTGAAGACTTCTGCAATAATAAGAATCACCCTAAATCACGTTGGGATCTTCCATGGTAGAATAAGAATTTATTCTTTCTAATAATAACTAAGAGACTTTCTACGATAAGTAATAAGACTTATAAGGTAACAAATTACCACAGTTTCGATTCTTAACACGTTGACTGCCACGAAACTTTTCACGATTCTGGTCTAAGAAGCCAATTTGATTTAATCAAGTAATGAAGCAACGAGATAACTCGTAGTTGGCAGTCAACGTGTTAAATATTCTTCTAATAAACAACTATGATTGGTTAATTCCCTTATTGCTTATTGTAGAAAGCTACCAATATTTACATGATGATTAAATCTGACAAGCATATGTCTGAAAATGCTTTGCTGTTAAATTTTTTACTGATAACCGAAGATTGAAATTATTGTAATCCTGTGTAAGGTTATGTATTAAGAATGCTCGGTGTTTAATTTCAGATCATTGATATCCATTGGCAGATATGATTTAAAGGTAAATATATGTTGAAATAAGTGATGTATTGCATGATAAATTAACACTTACATGGTAGCAGTTTCAAGTTTGAAATGTCACGTACGAAATACATGATGTTAAATTATACGCTATAATGATATTTATGATTATAACTTGCCCTCACTGATTCACCAAATTAAATAAAAATTCTCACCTTCCCCGTCCTTTTTTTTTATGTATTCTATCTAATAATAGTTCTTTTTTTTTTTTTTTGATTGCAGACATTGAACGGGAGCTCTGACATTCATACCGAGTATTCCCGTGTGAGAGAGATGTAAAGGTAATAAGAAGTATTTTATAAAATATATATATTTTTTATATTTTTACGATTTTATTTATTAATATTTTTATTAAATGTGATAAATGCGAATTACGCATCAATACGTAAAAAGAGCCTCGCGATATGTATTTTCAAAATTTATGTTCTTTTTTTTTAATGATGTTTACATAATATACGCTATGATAAGAGGTGATATTAACTACATATTTCGCTGAAGTAATGGAAATAAATGATACAAGTTGCAGTTTGCGCATGTCATTAGTTGACCAATTTTATTTTATTTCTTTTTTCTTTAGACAGACATATCGAGGCCATAAAGTGGAGTAACGATATAATAAGCAAGAGGAAATAAATGAGATATATTCCGTAGAAACACGATTCTTTTATTGGAACCTTGATATTACGTCTAAGGTACAAAATACGAAGTAATATGCGTTCCCTTTGGACTAGATACCCATTCCGCGTAAACGTAACAACAACAGTGCAAGACCGCACGAAAATGGCATTGCGAATTTACACGTTAGCAATTTTGATCGACGATATACCAGCATTGTCCGAAACGCGTTACTGCAAGTGTTCATATTCGTATGTAAGAAAACAAACGTCTTTCCTTCGTTTTATTCTCGAGGGTGCACACATGTATACGATATGCAGTGGAAAATAAACGCGATTATGTAACAATAATAAGGACAATCGTAATTAAAGTGGGAATTTTGAGTGAGAGATGCGTGGAATCTTACGGCGTGTTCTACAAGTCAGCACGCCGCCGATAGTTCAGTGAGGAGAATTCTTTCTCGAAAAATTAACTTTCATTGGACCATCGACAGCGTTCCGACATATTGTGGGACAGACCTAACCAGGAATTATCCTTCAGCCGTGGAACGTAGCTGTAATGCTCCGTTATCAAAATGCTTCACGAACTCTAATGATATTGCTGATAAAACATAATACAGCTATTGAAATTAACGCTAAATGCTTTAAGTGGATAAAATCTTGATTCACACAGAGAGAGAGAGAGAGAGAAGACGATAGTGCCTGGTGCATAGAATGCGAGGACGCGAAAAGTACAGTCGCGCGAGTATACATAATGTAACGTAATCGCACTATAATACATAACGGAGCGTGTACCGGACAGGTTGTCAGTCCTGGCTGCTAATCGATAGCGTGTAAAGATTCGAAAAGGTATCTTTCTCTTACAGTCTAAGTCCCGCCGACAACAGCTCGCGATAATATTAATTCTATGGTATCTAAAATGTGCAGTGCTATACGACTGTGTCGTACATTATAAAAATTACGCGCTCGCGCGAGTTGGTCGCGTCCGATATTCTCGATAATCGTCGGCCGCGTCGAACGAAGGCCGGTAAAATGGAAACTCGGTGTTCTCGTCCTTGACACACATCATCCTCGAAACATCGCTGGCGCCGCATGAGCAAGAAATTCAATATTCGAGTGTTCCATAGGGTGAACGGGTTAATTGATATCGCGATCGCACGCTTCCTCTATGAATCACATTGAATGTTGTCGGTGGAAATTTTTTCTTTTTCCGTCAGGTAGCGCGGATATAAATTCTCAACGTTGCCGATGATTCGAAATGTTGCAAGACTCGCGCAAAAAAGACTCGGCTGTGTGTAATCTTGATGGTTAAAAGTCTTCTCAACACCGTTCCACGATTGAATTTTCCTTTTGTTCGATCTCATGAGTATTCTCGAATTGATAATCTTCTAAGTTTATGTACGTATGACACGAAATATAGCTCCTCGAAAAAATTCACAGCCTTCAGAAACATTTCGAATGCACCCGCTACGGCACTCGCGTCGATATGGATAGACAATATTCTCGCCGACACGCCACAGGAACTTGGCGTAAATATCTTTCGGGAGCCCAACACTCGTGTTAGGCTGTCGTACGGTCGAAAAATTATGAACAAGCTCTGTATCCGTCAATCTGTTTTCGAAAAAACAGTTTGCCTCATTGGTCTCGCAAAGTTGATAAACTCGATGGCCTTCCTCCTCGAATCAATCGACATCCGTGCGTATGTCACCCTCATGAGTGGCCGCTAGCACCTTTTCGTAAATATTTATACATCGTACTTCCGCTCGCTATACCGATACGCTATACATCATCATATCTACATTGAGCACGCGACCCACCAGTTGTCACAACTGAAGTCGGTAGTCCGTGATAGGATCGAAGTCCTTCTGGTGAGTGGAATTTGAGGCCATCACGTATCCCCATAGTCGCATGGCGGTCGCGCAGACCCTCTGTATCTCGCGCACCTCCTCGAAGTCCAAGTCCGCCCGCCAGTGGAACGGCGCAACCTTGGAATTTCGGAAGGTGCTCGACACGCCGCCCACGTCATTCTTGGTGTGCGTGTCCAAGAATCGCTTTACGTTCATGTGAAAGTCCAAGCCGTAAAAATTGTAAAGCTCCTTCACGTGTCTATAAGGGTCCACGGATAGATCCTCGTAGCGTACCACTCTGTTCAAAATTAAACTCGTTTAGGCTCGTCGACGTTTTCACGTTTGTCTCTTCGATGTGGACGTTATTTATATGAGGATGAAATTATCAAGTAAAAAGCATCGAATCAATCTCGGGCATGCGAGCGACTTTAACTGTCGAAAATAGTGGGAAAAGTGAATTTCATTCTTGAAAAGGTAAAAAATAGCCAGCCTCAAAAAAAGTGCGTCCTCTCCAAATAATTTATTCGTTAAGAATTAAATTATTTATCTGTTATACCATTCTCTTAAGAAATTTCAAACACTGACCTTATATAATGAAAGTGAATGAATAGCAGCAAAATTGAATTTTAGAGAATAAGTTATATGACGCATAGAACAAACTTTACTTTAAACTCGGTCTCATTTAGATACAAGAAACTCTTTATAAAAATAGAAATTGTGTTTTTTTTTTTCAAACATACATAATGGAGTAAAGTGAAAGAACAAGTCTAAATTCAGGATATTAAGATATCCGAGATCTTTTCGTCAAACAAAAATAAATTTTAGAGATAACAGAAAAATACATTTAAATTAATTTTCCCATTGAAAATAGATTAGTCAACTTCTTAAGAATAATATTCGATAAGAAGATTCAATAATATCCATTTTAAAGAAAACACAGTCAAGTATGCTCATGACGGTCATTGTATGTTTTCTAAGAAACCTGATAAAAACATATTTTAGAAATATAATCACAATTCTTCACTTTATGAATATTGTGTGGTCGGAGTTATTGCTATTTTCTTTGAATCTTTTATTTTGCGTCTCGAAAGAAGCCAATTATTGAACTCCTCTTTTTCTTTTTTTTTTTTTTTTTAAGGGATTCAAGTAAGAAGAAAGTGAGACGTCTCTAAATAAGTGAGGGAAAATCGCATGGAATCTTTAGAGATGTTGGCTTTAAAATTTGGTCGAGTAACAATATGGTTATCTTGTGCGAATGATTTGGTACCTGAATGATCGTGGGTACTTCCTCGAGAGTTCTACCGCCGCGTTAAAATCCGACACCATATCTGCGCAAACCAGAGTCGGGTCGGAACAGTCGGGTTTGGCGGGACACCACTCCCTGTGCTTTCTAGACTGTAGGATGCCCCTCGGATCACGAATAAGTAGGACTAATCGCACACCTAAACTGCAACACGTATAAACGCATTTCTACAGGACGAAACAACACGAGGAATGTTCACTAAATTAAACGTGTTTTAGATATCTTCGTTAATATAACACTTATCACGCATCATCCTTACTCTTCTTCAGCCAGAAGTTTTTCCGCCGCACGTAACCTCAAGCGCACAAGCTTCATCGACTGGAAAGGAAACAGTCGGCAGAACTTGGATACGAAACGCGGATCCCAGCAAATGCGTTTATGCGCCTGGCACTGTCGCCATAAGTGCGTGTTGTGATTGAAAACCCAGGGATGAGTCTTTCCATAGTTCAGGTACCGATCTACGGAAAAAAATTGGATGCAATCATTGATCCTGCGAGTAAATCGGCAGAGTGTAAAGTTACCGAGCTCTTTGAATTCGCATTTCAGCAGAGAGATGATCTTCGTTAGGGATTCGTCGGCGAGCGGCGGCCCCCTGATCTGCACGATTCCGTAGTCAAGCAGCGGCTCGTAGTGATAAAAGTTCGCCGGATGTGCGTTGACCACGTCGCCAAGGAACGTGCTGCCGCTTCTCCAACTCGTCAAAATCACGCTCCTCATGGGTCTACCTCCCTGTTCCATCACTAGATCTTCCAGTTTGCTGCGACGGGCAGAAGAGAGGTTTAGCATTTTCGCACCTCCGAAAGATTTCGATTGACGCGCGTAATCTCTACCTTACGTTTATCCCGTATCTTCCGTTCGGATACTCGTAATTTTCCATATCCCGTTTAATCGCCCTTCTTTGCTGATCGACCACCTCCTGAATTTCGGTAACTGTTGCATTGTCCGCGGTTCCCGTGATGTATGCCTAAAAAGTAGATTGTTCGGATTACGAGAGAGAAGTATTTCGCTACTTTTGTTAGCAGCATTACGAATAAATTCAGCGTTAGAGGACACAGCTTGAAAATATGTATGCAACACACGTTTCTTAAATTAGGAACGAAAAGAACTCAACCGTGTATGTAGAAGCGAGTGAATTTATATACAAGAATGTTAATTCGTATCAACCCACTTTTCAAAAGAGACTAAAATTAAATCATACGGATTCGTCGTGTGTGTGATCGCGGTCATAAGAGGTTGACACACATTTTTGTCGATTGACGGAACTTGTTCGATGTCCGAGGAGAAACTCTATATCTTCTGAAAATTTCTCAAAAACAAATTTTTTCGTCGAACGTTGGCTACGTTCCGAAATGCGGTCGAAGAATGTCACAACCTTTACGGCCACGATTGTATGTTAATCTATTATGTTTGCGGTATTCGTTTATACATTCATCTACTTGTTATTAAAAGATTTAACTACGCATAATGCGTTTGTCTTTTAAAGCAAGCAAAGCGAAAAGTTCCGTTATTTCAAAGCAGAGGGAATGAAAAGTAAACGCAAATAATACGTATGATAAAGAATTACGATTATTGATCTATTAAATACACGATATATTTCGAGAAGTGAAACTGTCTGTCACATATAGATATAATGAAGATAATAAAGATAAAATTAACAAGATAACTTTATTGAAGATATATGTTACTTTTTATAGATTTCATCATCGAAAGATATAAAGTATCTAATAAAATGTTTTGCAGTTAATAAAACGATGTAAAGATGCGTTGTTATATACGTAAAATCGCATGTAAAAAGTGATTCGTATCATCTTATACGTTATCACTTATCAACAGTGTGACAGAGTTGACATTAAATTTTTATCTTATGTAAATTAGGTAAAAGAAAAATGAACGTTCCTGAAAAAAGAAAAGTAAATCAGAACTTTTTCTAATATTCGTATGAAAATGTTAGATGATAAAATCAGACTCTCTAACACTGTTTTTCTAAGAAGCGATAATATTGATATATTACACCGAATACACACGTGCATACCTGGCTTACCGTTACTGGTTCTTGAATTTTCGTAGTCCGTGGCCTTATCTCAACATCCTACATCGAAGAAGAAAGCATCGACGTTTTAGCGTTTTCGATTGTGCGTCTGCATTGTGAACACGAATGTATCTACCATTGATGTGACATAGGATAATGATCTTTCTCCCTCTTTCTCGGTCTAGATAGCGTGTTAATATTTATAAGAGATGCGCAAGTGCAAATACCGGTGAGTGTGCCGCCGTAAGGCTAAAATTGTTATACCAGTTAAAAAAAAGAAAAAAAGAAGTGAAGTGTATTACTAATAGTGCTAATCTACGAGCATGCTGACTTCGAGAAGTAATTATAAGCGTCTTCCAGATTGTAGTTAGATTCCAGAGGGAGAACTCGCATTCAAAAGTAGTTGAAATTATCGGCTAATTATCACAAAGATGACGAATCGCCACGACTTGTAGCGTTTTGAAACAATAGGAAATTTTAGCAACACTGACTTTCAGATACGTGCATTCCGATATTCACCGCCGGTGCTGCGAATCTACAGTTTGTATCCATTTGAAATGCTAGCAATGAATACCGGAACGCACGTATCTGAAAGACAGTGTCATGAATGCATTGTAAAACCGACACATATATTTAGAGATATTCCGATAGTCCTGAAACAACATGAGAAGAGGTGGAAACAGGGAGAAAGAGAATCGCCAATCTGTCCTATGTATGACAGTAGTATCGTTAGTATGTGAAGAGAAAGAGAGAGTTTTGGATAAAAAGTTAGGTGCGAAAGTTAGAATTTACCATCGGAAAGAGCGTGTTTGGCGTGACTCAATTTTAGAGCAATCCCCACCTCCGAATTTTTACTGACCGATATCACCGGCTGCAGTCGATGCTCGAGGTAGCTGCTGTAGCGCTGATTAAACGCTAGGAAGAAGATGCAGACAGACGCCAGGCCTATCAGACCATAGAAACTCAGCCGCCTCGACATCCTTATTCCTATAAAGCGCAGCAACTTAAAAAGACAAACACAATTTGTACACATCGAGTGGATACACATACAGGGGGTTTACAACGTTTCTAGTTTGTTGTGTAGCATCGAAACGTTGCCGGGAAAGGTGTGACCGCAAGGATGAACAAAGATTGCGAACTTTACTCCTTTCGAGAGAAAAAGATGGATACGAAACACAAAGGCGTTCTATCACAACGAAGATCTCTGTTAACAAAGGCTAGGTCGAAATATGGCACGTGAGACAACATGAGAATAAGACGTCACACAAGTGGATTATTATTAAGTGGAAGTTATTAAGGAAAATGTTGATTTTAACACATCTCTCTCGGTCTAATCGCACCTAGAAATTCACGGTTCAACGCAAGTACTTTATTGCAATCTACTCGTTGCATATACATGAGCGGCGATTAAATTGTTACTTTTTCGATCGCAAATCACACAGATCACTCGGTATGCAACAGGGGAGATAGTAAATGTCCTTCAATATCCTATTTTCACGCACGTGCAATACCACACAGTTATTCGAGTCCCGCTACTATAAATCACGCTCGCAATAATAGCATTGGGTTACGCCACTTATCAATGATTAAAAAGTACCGTCAAACCTTAACTTTGCCGTTGGTTACATTGCCTTCTGGGCGGGGAGATTGGGTGGCGGTGAACTTAATAAGATTGCGACATCGATAAGGAGTCGTGTTTCTCTCTCTTTACAGTTTGGCGATAAGGTCGTCGCGCGATCGATTGAAATTAATTGCGACATATAACGGGAATGCTCACCTTCTGTGGTACGAGATCCTCCGTTAAATAAAACCTCGTCATCGTCCGTGCCGACGGAAATTCTTCATATCACTAAAACCATCCGCTATTATCGGACGCAGCACAGTGGTGAAGCTTGCGCGGCCAACTCGCTCAACCTATTCGTGAAAACAATGCGCTTCGCGACACGAAATGAAAAGAGAAGATCGCGCGAAATTGGAACTCCTGAATTTTTGAAAATTCGAAAGAGCCAATATGGCGGATAAGTCGCGCTAGATTCGATTCTCGCGCGACATTCGCGTCGAACGGTCTTTCGATTATTGAAATCGTTGATAAAGCCGGCTGACTGAATGATTGTTCTTTCTCTCTCTTAGTCACCGTCCCGACCTATCTATAGTACGAGCGGAGAATGAAGTATAGCTGACTGCGGTTGCAGCTGACGTGGTATACGGTTGGATGTCAGATAGAGTTTACTACTTGTTTTTTTTTTTTTTACGACTCGACGAACGCAACAGAGAGAAGGACGATCGGCTCGCGAACAGAAGTGACGTGAAAACCGACGTGGAGCCCGCACGAATCGCAACGAACTCGTTAGCGGCGGATGCGCGAATTCCGCCGCTCGCTTGTTTATACCGCGATAAACTGATTGTTGGGCGATTTCGCAAGCCGCCGGGCGGGGACTCCTCTCTCTCTCTCTCTCTCTCGCTCGCTCGTTCGCTCTTTCTCTCGCGCGCGCTCCCGCCGCATACGCAGCTCGTTTCTCTTACCTTGGAACTGCATTCGGCCGCACGACGAAGACGCGCGTCATGCCGTTCAATTCCGAGCGGGCCGCAGGAGTCGCGCGAGGTTGCGACCCACCTCATAAGGAGTACGAGCGACGCGATGAGAAACGTCCATCGCGACGGCCGACGACGATCGGTGGCCTACTAACGGGCGGTCGACTCGCTCCAGGGAGGCGAGGCGACGTCGGTGGCGGTAGAGCCGTATTGCGGCTCGTGCCAGGCGCGGCGTGCCGTATACGATATACCGTGAGGTCCGTTCGGCTGCACTTCGTTTCCTCTTTCTTCCTCGCCGCAGTTCCGACGATGAGAAAGATAGAGAAGGAGGGAAATCCGTTTACCTGCATTGCATCCGAAACGAAGCAGCCAAAATGAACGGACTTCTTCGCGTGACGCGAATATGGTTAATTGGATGTTGGACTTTTACAATGTGCGAACTTTCTCTAAAACACGAAACGAACGATTCGTTTACAATGTATATTTATGAAAATCGGCATATTCCATTTTGCAAACATACGATGTCCTATTTTCCAACGATCGATAATCACAACATCACGCCCGTTTCATCCTCAAAAGCGGAACAATTATTTACGACACACCGTTTTTTTTAACGTCAGCGATGCATTGTTTGATGAAACGGACGAACGAGCGACGCAGAACTTGAAATCGCTCGGTAGGTTACGGAATCGTCGATTGGGTGTACGCAAGGACCGCGCAGCGGCGCTAGCGGCGCCGCGCAACTCTCCGTGCGCTTCGTCGCGAGCTTCAGTCGGATGCTGTTGCTCGAGCGGCGCACTTGTGTTCGCGGGGAGGATCAGCACGCGCGCGCGTGTGTCGTTTTCTCCTTTCCCTCTGACGGACATGACGCGCGAACTGTTGTAGCGGTTTTCGCCCGGCCAAAGGGTATCAATTCACCTAAACTCTTCTTCGTCGCGCCGCGTTCTTCCCTCCCGTCATCGCTCTCACGACGCACACGCGAAACATACATACGCACTCTCTCTCTCTCTCTCTCTCTTTCTCTCTCCCCCGTTGTCCCTCGATCCCTTCCTCCCGCCGGGGCAAGCCGAAAACTCGTTATGCTCCGGGTTTCTCGAACCGGTAACACTTCGTGATTAGCGTGCGCGCACGCGAGAGAGAAAGAGAGAGAAGAGAGAGTGAGTGAGAGAGAGTGCTCGATCTTCGGCCATCGTCGCCCTCGTCTTCCTCGCGCGGTGTCGTTCGAGAAAACGTCAAGATGCGCCGCATCGTGAGGACGTGAACGGAATATCGCGAAGGATTTCGGGAAGTGCGCCGGCCGCAGCTTGACATTGCGACGAAGAACGGCCTCCGCATCGACGGAGGAGTGCGTTTCGGGAGGATGCGCAGCTGAACGGATTATCGGTGAGTAACGTGCTTCCAAATATTCCGAAGCCGTTATGGGCGAACACGCGCAAGAATGGTTCATCGATAAAAAATTTCCGATCCAGTATACTGTTCAGCGGAACGTTTATTGTGCAACCGTTGGCAGTTTCCTGTGCACCGGATTATTCTTGTGAATCTAAAAGAAAAACGTGCAACAGTTAAACGTTCTGCTGACCATTATCAATGTGAGCAGCAACCCTGCCATGAATAAGCCTGTTCGTTGTGCCGAGCTTCCTTCCTTCAATGCTACGCTCGTTTCATTCTAAAAGGCAAGAACTAAAACGAACGAGATTCATTAACAGAAGCGGAAAAACTTGTGTGTTTGTCACGACACTGCGTTTCGTGCGAAATTTGAGAGTGTTTACGCTTCGTGGAAGCGTAGTGTGGACGCAAACTCTTAACATTCCAAAAGCGGAGTTGCGACGAAGCAGCTTGACGCGCAGTTGACCTCGCGAATATCTCAGCGTATACTTCGAATAATTTCCCGAACGTGTTTCTGAATTGCGGTATCGATTGTGTTATGTACGGAATATTCTCATAATTTAACCTGTAAGTAGTGACTTTCGAGGAAAACAACCACTGTTTATAGCGGAGATTCTCAAGTGTTATTGACGCTACTTCAATACCGAGTGGTAGAGGCAAGTTATTATATAAGAAAGCATCCAATGTCGCAGACAAAAATGAAAGGAAGAAACGCGTCTGTAGGTCAGTTTTCGACCCTCCCCTTACGGTTTAATTGCAGTGACAGGTTCTTGGGTGGAATTTGATCTCCTTCTCGGTGAAAATATGGAAGTATCGATGATTTTGTAAAGGACAGGAAAAACTTGCTTTTGAAACGAAAATTTTACGATTCTATATGAAACTTATCACAGAAGGTTATGAGTTCTAATGAGACTGCCCGTTCTTTTGTACACACACACACCCAAGTGGAGCAACGCACCTTGAAATTTTAAATATTTTTCTAAGGGATATACAATTACACATACAAAACAGTCAATTGAACACCGCTGAGTAAGCAATTGCTCGGCATTAAGCGACACCTAAGGCGATTTAACCCCTTGACATACAATGACGTCTGGGAGACGTCATTTATTTCATGTACCATTGTAGACTTTGACGTCTCCGAGACGTCAAGAACTGTCTCCGGTGGACGCCGTGCAGTATATTATTAGATTATTCAATTGTTTCACTTGTGCGTCGATTCTGTTTTATTTAGAATGTTCAAGATGCCCCCCCCCCCTCTCAACAGTGCCGATAACAAAATCGCATTGGCAAACCAGTAAATCAAAAAGAAGTACATTGAAAGCAGTATTCAGTATAGCAGTGATCTCGCACGGCGAATGCCATACTATATATTTGAATTTAGTAAAAATTAAAAATAATCCTTGTAACATGTCTGAGTTGAATGTATTGTATGAAAGTGACGATGAATGTCTAATGGGCTATTCTAGTCATGATAATGAGATTGAAAACAGTCATCAAAATGTTCATACTGTTGACTATTCAAGTGATGACACATCACATCACATTAACATTATATATCAATCTGATTAAATGTTATATAGCGATGCAAATTTCAAAATAAAAAATTCTGTTTCTAAGCTTGCACATAACTGTTCATTGAGCAAAATTAAATAGTATTTTTCGGACGCATCAAATTCCGTTTTATTTGTATGTGAAGGGGTTAAGATCACGCTGATTCAATTCATCGTGTAAATTAAGTAACACAATTAAGTCGAGTTTATAATTTCAGTTACGTCATGCGGACCGTGCTTTCGCGATTGATTCCGCTCGATCGTGTTTTCAATTAAAACTAAGATTAATCTTCCCATTAGCGGGAACGGTTTGAATCCTCCCGTGGAGTGAAAATCCGCGTTTTTCGAGATGTCGTAGCGATTGTTCATAAACGGCGTTTAACAATAGGGAAAACTCATCGTTACGACGTACTGCGGCGGATGCTCGCGCATTGTATCGTATCGGAGTTTCGTTACCACGTAACAGTAGTTGGATATTCAATGAGACCTCGTTACAGCGAAAATTTCATTTTACTGGCAGTTGTCGCGGCGAAATTTCGCTGCGTTTTCGCTTGCTTCCACCGTTCGACGTTGTTGTGTGCATCTCTTCGCCAGCTTGCGAACGAGATAAACGAGATAATACCGCCACGTAACAGTCGCGTTAATTATTTTTTCCTCCAGAACACGTGAATTCTCTGTCCCTATCTGTAAAGCCCTTAGAAGCAGCAGGATATTCTTGCGGTTCTTTGTTATCTCAATCTCAAATTCGTCTGCTTTGAAAACGCTAATTAGTGACTGCGAAAATGATACCCGCACGATAATATATCGCGAAGTATTACTGATAAAAGTAGAAACGGAAGAAACTGGAGCTACTAGCGGGATCCCGAAAGGATCGTATTTCGCTTTCTTATTACGATGTCACTCGGTGGTGACGTGAAATTTTCCTGGAGCTTCGAATCGGCGTCAAATTGATCAAAGAAGCAACGATAATTCACGCTCCGTGTACGTCTGTGAAGTTAGCACGTGAATTCTTATAAAATTCACGCTGCATTCCTTTGCCTACGAAAGATTCGCCCACATTTTTGTCCATAAAAACATATTTTTGTGCAGAAAAAAGTTGTAACCAATTAAAAAAATTGGACAAATTTTAACATCAGCCCTTGGGCAAACGAATGCTGTTGTGAATTTCATAAACATTCGCATTTCGGAGCACTGATTTCACAGACGGCCTCGCTGACATGTCATTCAGACGCCTTAACTAATTCGAACTGAATTTTTCCTCGGCAAAAATTGCTTCCTTTTAACATTCGACCTTAAATATTTTCGCAACCGCGTAACCAATTCTCTAATTAAAATCTTAAGATGAAGTCTGCCCGTAACTAAATGACAGCTAAAATTACGTCATTATCTATCTGCGACTCCGGAATTTAATTAATCCTTGGATTTCAAATTTTTCGTCATATTAAAAAAATAATCATCCTGATATATATATCCCATATGAGAGCGAAAGTTGTTCTAAGTTGGTCGAAGAGTTTGCGGATGATAGTGAGAACTCCCGATTTAGAACCTGCTTTAAGTCTCACAAGTACTGATTTGTGCATTTAATAATATTCCTTGAGCTGCACAAGTTCCACCTTTTAACGCGTTCTTTTCGTTCGACCTTGTTTATTGTGCCGAATTAAAAAAATTTCTTCCTTTTGAACTGTCTGTTGTAAATTAAATAAATTATATAATTAACATATTATTTATTGAAACTAAGAATAGAGACTAAATGCAGATAGCACATTAAATTATTTTGGAGGACCAAACGAGAATAATGGTTTATACAGTGCTATATATATCGAGATTTTCCATTTGATCCTTCAAATCCGATAAGATTTATATTGTTGATGTAGAACTAAATTTCGACTCGGACATTCCCATTGTGTGTATGTGCGGTTGATTTCTATTGTCTGATAACTGTGTGATGCTCGATGTAATTTTCATGCGGCATTCGATTCTATTGTTCGATCTCCATTATTAGTCTAGTACGCGTCGTGGAAAGTTTCGTAGACTCATAATCACGTTTTGCTTGTACCACTGCGACGTTCGCACGAAAGATCGCGTCGGCGTGGATCAGTTTTCGTTGGCGACATGAAAATAATTCAAATGCAATTACCCGTAAGCGAGATCTATAAGCGAGCTCTAGAGACAGTGCGTGACATCAGTGTCGACAAAATCAATGCGAAAGACTAGCGACCCAATTCTATGTAATTTCAAATAATCTTTATAAGAAGGAAAATTACTAGCTTGTGAAGTGGCACTTTGTGAATATATCTTTTTATTTGAAACTTGGTATAACGCAAGAATTCTCGGCATGCGTTTTCTCGCTTCTGACGTCATGAAGCAAGGACAGTTGCAGCGAAGGAGTCTGCCTTAAAGTCTTAAAGAGGGTAAATCTGTAGCGCAATGGTACTGTCGCGACAATATGTCGGTTAACTGCTCCAGTTTGAAATTTATAGCTCTTATATCTTAAGGTGTAAGAAATCTCCATTTGAGAGAGAGAGAGTAGTTTAAAAATGACATTATAAGACAATAGCGTCTAGGGAGAAAGTCATACGACGTGCAAAAGAGAGAGAGAGAGAGAGAGACGCGCTGCGGCGTGCACCTTTCGCGTGGCACACTGTATATGTCGGTCGAATCTATTTCTGTGCCGGCGTGTTGTCAATCGCGTGCACCTAGCTCTGTCGCCGCGCTGTGGGCCCTCCCGATAGCGTGAAAGGGAGGGTCCAAAGTGGTGGAAGTGGTCGCCAAAGTGTCGTGATCTCTCTTTTCAAGCATTTGCCGGTCGAGCTATATATGTTGATCTTCGTAGGATCTAGCGCGTGATCGGTAGAACAGGAGGAGGAATATAAGAAGAATAATCAACTATGATTGGTTAATTTCTTCTTATAAACATACTCCTACATTGTAGGCCCCACGTTTCAGCTAAAGGATTTGCAGTGTAGTTGCTTAGTTGAGTACATCTTTTAATAATAACGAATATATGTTAAATCGGATATTTTATCGTGAAATATTTTTTATATAGAAACGAATTTAAAGGAAAAACGAAAGTTACACTTGTGACTCAACGCGACATTTTATCGTAAATTTTCGGTTAGATGCGATTGCGAAAATGAGTACAAAATAGCGTCGATGAATTTGGAGTCATTTGCATGTAAGCGGGAAATTTGTAATTACGGGGATATTTTATATTTTACGTAAAAAGGATCTTCGTAAATTGAGTGAAGGTGTAAATGGATAATGGAAGTTCGTGCTTTCCCGTTAATTCGAAGCCGACTTTATTTTAGACTCTTGAGAACTCGTCCGAAACTTCACTTTTAAGGCTTTCCAACCGGGAAGTTTCACACCGAAGATTGAAAACTTGCTGCGAATGTGATGAACTCTGTCGTTTTAGAAGCATCACCTTTTAAACCTTAGTTTTAC